GAGGTCATGAGATCGAACTTCAATGGAGACATTGTTGACTCTTTGTGCTTTATTAGATTGAGAAAGTATGTTTGAACAGATACTACAATGTAATCTACTCAGTAGCATTCCAAAAAAAAAAAAAAAAGGTTAGGAGTTATTTAAATATGAAAAATGCTTCTCATTTTTATAATTACCACTATCTATTAGATACTCTCAAATTTAAAAAAATAAAACTAAAAACTATTTATTTTCATAGATAACGTGTGAACTAACCCGTCATAAAATGATTAATAAAAAATATAATTATGGATATTTTTAATATCGTCTATTTAAACACTTCTGTGGCTTGTGAGTTATCATTACTGGAAGTGATCTTAAATTAAGTTGAAATCAAAAAGTGGTTGAAAATAGTAACAAAGATTTTTTCGGATACCAAAAGTACGTGGTCCGAACAAGACTTTCGACTTGATTTAATATTACATTCAGGTGGTCAGAAATTTCATAAATTCCCGTAGTGTATGAATCACAATATTTTATTTGAGGTACGTACTCATCACTAGTGGAGTCAATTCGTGTGGATACTATGTATAGTAAGGAAGACGTTTCCATGTCAGAAACATACACACACGCTTGAAGAAAATGGCACTATGAGTGGAATATAATTGAATTGAAGCAGCCTTTGCCATTTGTCCACGGAAAGGACTTGTACATTATCCCATTATATCATCCAAATAGCCGACTATTGCTTCTTGCCCTACAAAGTGCGCAACCTATGGCGCATCATCAACGTTTATATGTTTGTACTATATATATATATATATATATATATATATATATATATATATATATATATATATATGTATGTATGTATGTATGTATGTATGTATGTATGTATGTATGCATGCATGCATGCATGCATGCATGTATGTATGTATGTATGTACGCGTGAGATTTGTACTCAATGTGCGTGAGTGTTGTGCTTAATGTGCCTGAGATTTGTACTTAATGTGCATGAATGTGTAAAATGCAGCATAAAATATGGATGTCACACTACAAGAAAAATGCACATAGACAACACTAGAAAGACAACGGTTTTTAACAAAAGTGTTATCATTTGTATAAAAGACAACAGTTTGGTCCAAAACTGTTGTCTTTGATGCAACACTTTTGTCAAAGACAACGGTTTTTACTTAACTGTTGTTATAAGTGTGTTGTCTTTGTGCAATTTGAGAAAAGACAACACTTCAACAACAACGGTTTTTAGAAACCGTTGTCTATGTGCGTTTTTTTTTTTTTTAATTTAAGACAACGATTTTATTTAACCGTTGTCTTTGATATGTTGTCTTTAAGTGTACTTGAATAAACAACACTATAAAGACAACGGTTTTTTAAAACTGTTGTCTTTGCGCATTATTATTTTTTAAAAGACAACAGTTTTATTTAACCGTTGTCATTTGTGTGTTGTCTTTAATAGCACTTGAATACACAACACTACAACGACAACGGTTTTATAAAACCGTTGTCGTTGCGTGTTCTTTATTGCTTTAAGACAACGGTTTTATTTAACCGTTGTCTTTGGTATGTTGTCTTTAAGCGTACTTGAATACACAACACTATAAAGACAGCAGTTATAAAAAACCGTTGTCTTTGCACAATATTATTTTATAAAAGACAACGAATTTATTTAACCGTTGTCATTTGTGTGTTGTCTTTAATAGCACTTGAATACACAATACTACAAGGACAACGGTTTTATAAAACCGTTGTCGTTGCACAATCTATTTTTAATTGAAGACAATAGTTTTATTTAGCCGTTGTCTTTAAGCGTACTTGAATACACAACACTACAAAGACAACAGTTATTTATAACCGTTGTCTTTGCGCATTATTATTTTATAAAAGACAACAGTTGTATAAAATAAAGAAAAGGATGTTACTAGCAAGAGTCAAACCTATAACTTCTAACATAACAAACAAAGCTTAACCAACTAAGCAACACCAACCCTTATGTTTTAAAGCGCAACATCTTGTATATAACCGAGTTACTTCTGTGTTGTCTCTGAAAACCAAGACAACAGTTTTATAAGAAATGCCTCCAAGAAGAATAAAACTCGAGACCTCTAACATAACAACCAATTAAGGCTAAACCCACCAAGCCACATCAACCCTTATGTATTTAAGCGCAACAACTAGGATATAACCGGGCTGCTTCTGTGTTGTCTTTGAGAACCAAGACAACAATTTTATAAAATAGGTTAAAGATGCTGTAGACACAGAAAATTTGAACACGACAAGTGGACTGATAAAATTGTTATTGGGCCAATATTGAAATTGTTATTGGGCCAATTTAATTAATTGGATCATAGAAATTAAATTGATTTAATTAGTCCAATTAAATTTGATTTGGGCTATTGAATTAATTAATTAATTGGTACAAGCACATTTCATATTTGAATTTGAATTATAATTATAATTTAAATATAAGGGAAAATGGCACTTTTTACCCCTGAGTTATATACTTATAGCACTTTTTCCCCTTCAATTATTTAGGTAAGCACATTAGCCCCCTCAATTATTCTAAAAGTGGTGCTTTTTCCCCCCTGATATATTAAATTGACATTTATACCCTTAAAGTAAACATTTTATTTATTTTACTACTCCAACAAATTATTGCGTATACGTAGGGATGATCATGGTTCGGTTTGAATTGAACCGGATACTAAAGCAATCGAATTAATAGTTTACGGTTATAATTCAGATCTAGAACCCAATATTTAAATGTCAATTTATTAAAATTATGTATCAAAAAAATTGAATCTTAAACCGTTAACCGGCGGTTCCGGATCTGATTCGCGATTTTGAACCGTCTTTATTTTAAAATTTTATTTTTTATTTTAAAATAGTCTAAATTCAACAATAAATGTATTTTATTTTTTCAGTTCGGAACATGAACCGTCTGTTCCGGTTCACGATTTTAATAAACTCTAAATATCGAATTTCGATTCTAAATTGTAATTGGAATATTTCGGTTTGGTTGCTATAGTGTTTGTTTAGTTTGAACCAAATTATGGTCATAATTTGTTGGAGAAAAAAAATAAATTAAATATTTAGTTTAAGGGTAAATATGTCCATTTAACATTTCAAGGGAAAAAACAGCCACTTCAATAATTTAGGGGGAAAAAATGCTATAGGTATATAACTCAGGGGGAAAAAAGTGCCATTTTCCCTAAATATAATATAATTTTATTATATTTGAATTAGGTTATGCAATAATGAACCTAGACTTGCCCAGACTTGAGAGATCGGTTAGACACAACTTAGGTTTTGAAGATCTTGAAGCGAAATTTTGTGAAATATATACAAAGTTTAATTTTTGTGTTTACAGATGCCACCAGGAAGGATAGAACTCGAGACGTCTAACATAACAAATAAGGTTAAACCCACCAAGCCACACCAACTCTTCGGCGTGTCCAGCCGGCCACCTCAGTCCTTGGCGTGGGCGGGCAGGGTGGTGCGCCCCCGGGCACTTCAACCGTGCCCCTAGTCCTAAGGGGGTGCGACGCGGTGCGGTGTGGTGTTCAGAATGGGCTTCAAAAGCACGAGCCCACCCCGCCATTTTGACGGCTCTACTTCTGGGTAGCGCATGACTAACAAGGTTAGCTATATGTTGGTAATCGACTCTTCCGGCATGCATGGGACACGTGGAGAATGAATATAAAAGTGTAGTTGATGTCGTACAGTAAGCTAAAGTCCATTCACAATTATTGAATCTCTATATTCCTAATTACATAACTATATATATTCATAATTATGAACAGTTTTGAAACCGTGTCTACCTTGCAAGGTGGACAAGGTTCTACGGTATAATTTGACCCCGTTATGTACCTATATATTCAGTTTATGGTGGACCGGGTACCTATAAAACCATGAATATACTTATTTAATTTTTTTTAAAAATAAAGACTTATTATAAAATAAAAATAAAATTTTTGTTATTTTGCTTATTATATTAAATATATATGTTATTCTTTAAATTTTGAGTTTCAAGACTTGCACAGTTTACAAAAAATTTTCTTACCTCTCAAATAAAATAATTCCCTCTTTGTAAATTTTGATTTTATTTTGTTATTGCTTAAGCGGGAAAGAAGAAATTAAAACAAAAACAAACACTTCAACTCAAAACCCTTTCCGTCGAGAAGACCAGCGCAAAACACTGCCTCGCCGCCTCCAACTTCCGGCACCGTCGCCGCCGTGATAGACAGTAGAGCGTTGTGCGGCGGTGATAGACAGTAGGGCGTTGTGCGGCGGTGATAGACAGTAGGGCGTTGTGCGGCGGTGATAGACAGCGGCGGTCACGCGGAAGTTCACCCAACGACGGTAATTTCTTTTTCAATTTTTTTTCCTGAGCTTTGTGCGTTGTTTGATAGGCAGTGGCGGTGATAGACAGTAGATGATGGATTTTGGGTTTGGGTTCAAACTAAATTTGTGCGTTGTTTCCCCAGCTGTTGTTCGTCTGACGGTTATGATTGAGCTGTTGTTCGTCTGACCAGAGGCTGTTCGGTTGATGGTGATGATGATTTCTTTATCCCTATCTTTACACTGAGCATTCAAATTACTCACAGCTGAACATGTAAATCTATGTTTAATAAGCTTTAAACTGAACATTTATACTATTGTGTTTGTTGTGTATTGGTTCATTTATCCCCAGAATCTTAACATTCAAAGCTTCTTGTGAGTGCAATTTACATTATGGTTCAAGTGTAATAATTTTTACCAGGCATGCCTTCCTTATAACATTGGAGACTAAGGTCATGTATTTCTTCCTCTGACAAGAACAGAATAATCTAAAACATTGGCAAGAGTAAACAAATATTGTAGCAAAATATAAAATGCCATATCTGATAGATCTTTTCTTATTAAGAATCAGTAAATATTAGATGATAAATCCCAATTATGTTATGCTAAAAAAATTTCACAGCATGAGGTCAGTGATTGATCGGTACAAGAAAGTATAGGGTAGTTACCCTACACAAATGTGGACGATGGGAAGCTCGAATGGGGCAATTTCTTGGCAAGAAGTAAGATTCTATTAGCTTCATTGTTGGTTAAAATGGATATCCATTTACATTATATAGCATTGTTAATAAACTGAGGAGTACATGTTCTTATTGGTTAGCATATAACATTTGGATGCAGGTATATCTACCTTGGACTGTTTGACAGTGAGATAGAAGCTGCAAGGTCCTATTATCATAAGTTCACTATTTTCTCCTATATGTTATATAATCCAGCCTGAACATAACATTTCTTGAACTTAGTTGACTTGGAATTTGGTTTTGATTTTGATCAGGGCATAGGATAAGGCCGCCATAAAATTAAGTGGGAGGGAAGCTGTGACGAATTTTGAACTAAGCGCATATGAACAAGAGTTGACTTCTGAAGTTGATACTGGAGGTAAAGGTTCTTTACAACATCCCTCATTGGTAATCCTTGTTGAACATATCCATTAATAGGAACCTGGCATTTCATGCAGGTGGCAGCCAAGATTTGGATTTGCATTTGGGCATTGCTCCTACTAGTTTTGTAGATGGCATGGGAACCCTCGCTCTAGTTGCAAAGTGGTTTAGCCAGTCCAAAGCATTGGGGAGTGGGGGTAAGTTGAAGGGCTTTGATTTAAAACTTTATCTCATTCTATGCAACTCTTTTCATATTTCTGCTCTTTTCCTTTCCATCTTAATTTTTTAATTGGTTTGTATTAGATAGTGCATTGAAACACTAAATTCTTCTCGGTGTTGTAACCGGTTTAAATTGTCCTCCTTCGTATGCAGACCTCTGCTTCAAATACAGTGGAACCTGAACTATTACCACATGGCTTTGAATTGCTTTCTGAGCATCCTCCTATCTGCAATGGAGTAAATACTCAATTCTTTCCCATTTACAAGGTATCCCACTATCCCCTTGTCTAGCATGGTTTGAAGCATACTACAAGATTTCCATACATTTGACTGTCATTATTTTTTACTCTCTAGACAATTCATTCTTCTCTTGCTCCTCCTGCTAATGTTCTAGGCCTACACTACTTTGAAATCTTTAAAGGAGTTAGTAACACCTGAGCTCTGTGCAAAAATCATTTGAATGTATACATATTGAACCAATTGTTTAGTGAGTTATTACCTTTCACCTCTGTGCGAAAATCATACTGGTCCCCATGAACTCTCTCTTATGGGAAAATATCTTTTCTATAGCAACTATTGTTACTTGTGATTTATGGATATTAAGTCACTTGAAAGAAAATTTGGTCTTTTAGTCACCATTGGTCAATTTGCCACTTAATGCAGGGAACAGCAATAGGGAAGGGCATGGAAATTAATTCCTTACCAAACTGGGATCAAGCTTATGGTGGGACTCCTCCAGCAACACTCTTCTCTACTGCAGCATCATCAGGATTTGCTAACGCAACCTTACTTCTTCCCCGGCTGCTCCTCGGCTACCTCATTTCTCTAGTGGAATGTTACCTTACCACCATTCTTCACCTCCTATTCCAACTATGAACAACACTGCTCACTTTTGCTGCCGGAGCTGAAGTCAACAGGTAGTCGGTTACTGCCGTCAATTATTTTCTCCCTTAGTACTCTGAAATTAGGTAAGATCAGAGCAAAATGAACATGTGCTGCTCTTCTCTGTTTTGAGTGATTTGTAAGACTGCATACAATAGCTTTAATAGTGTAAAAGCTTAAGGTTTTAGACTACATCAGAATGGTATGATAAGGTGCCACTGTGCTCAAATTCATCTTTGCCTTTACATTTCTGCCTGCTGCGCTAAACTCCGAAATGTTAATTCTGTGGCTTTTTCCCCTTTAATATGAAAGTATGAAACTGTCCAATTTTATTCTTGAAGTGCCTTGTTAATCTTTCATTGCCGTATTTTATTTTATCTAACTTTTTTATTGTTTGGACTAACGCCCTCCACGTCGCCCCCTACTTTGGAAATGGTTAATTATAGTTTTTGTATTTTTCCATTTAACAACACCGGTTTCAACAACATTGAATTGACAACGGGTCAAAAACCGTTGTCTTTGGAAGAAACGACAACGGTTTAAAACCATTGTCTATGTGACTTTTAACAACACCGGTTTCAACAACACTTAATAGACAATGGTTAAAAAACCGTTGTTGTTTCTAGAAAAGACAACGGTTATTAACCGTTGTCTATGTGCGTGACTTACAACAACACCAGCTTCAACAACACTTAATAGACAACGGTTAAAAAACCGTTGTTGTTTCTAGAAAAGACAACGGTTATTAACCGTTGTCTATGTGCGTGACATACAACAACACCGGCTTCAACAACACTTAATAGACAACGGTTAAAAAACCGTTGTTGTTTCTAGAAAAGATAACTGTTATTAACCGTTGTCTATGTGCGTGACTTACAACAACACCGTCTTCAACAACACTTAATAGACAACAGTTAAAAAACCGTTGTTGTTTCTAGAAAAGACAACAGTTAAAAAACCGTTGTCTATGCGCGAGACTTACAACAACACCGGCTTCAACAACATAAATTATACCCCTACGACAACGGTTATTAACCGTTGTCTATGTGCATTTTTCTTGTAGTGTCAGCTTCTTCCCCATCCCCAGTAGCCATTGCCCCCTCTCTGATGATGATTATGCGGAGGCGGGCTATGGTGGTTAAGAATTATGGGAATAGTACAACAGAAATCCACACTTAGCTGGTGTGCAAATTTTGCTGTGCGTGCGTCATCTATATAAACATTCAACTGCACTGAAGGTAGCTGATAATCCAGAATCCATGGTCAAATTGAAGGAAGAAGTAACAAGAAGCTTGGGCGTTAATGCGCGTGAGTAAATGGCTACTGGGGATGGGGAAGAAGCTGACATCAATATTTTCTACTGCATTTTATACATTCACTCACATTAAGTACAAATCTCAGGCACATTAAGCATAACACTCACGCACATTGAGTACAAATCTCACGCACATTAATCATTCGCGCATCCGCATGGGAAGCATTCACCGCACAGGAACCTTTCACTATATATATATATATATATATATATATATATATATATATATATTTGAATTTGCTGAGGACTTAAGTCGTAGTCACTCAGCAGCCTTCTAGGTGGAAGGGTTTTCTTTTAAGTTGTATTTCGAAGACTAAAAATTAGAAAGGTACGTAGTCGTAAGATTAGATAATTAGTTTGTTAGTTATCACTAAATACTTCTCTAGTAGAAAATTATAGCAGCTACAACAAGTGGAACGGTAAATTGTTCCAAAAATATTCTCAAACGGGTATTTGGAGAGTGATTGAAGCGGTAAACTATTAACCGCACTCACTGTTAGCTTTTCTAAACATAGTCTTAATGAAAAAAACTCTTTTCGTTTAATGATGCATCTTTTTTTTTTTTTTTTTTTTAAAACAACCTTTTATATATTAATATATATTATATTAAAATAATATTTAATACAAACTATTGTCCTCATTTACATTAATATTGTAGTTGACATAGAATTTTTGTATATAGTGTTTTGTTTTTCAGAGCGCTGAATAAATAGTAGACTATATATTAGCTTCACTTGTAAAACATAGAATTTTTGTATATAGTGTTTTGTTTTTCAGAGCACTGAATAAATAGTAGACTATATATTAGCATCACTTGTAAAACAATGAAATATAACATAATGTTTGAGACTATTTAGCACATAAATTATTCAATAGAATCCCCTTTAACTCCCTCCATATACTAAAAATTTACCTATTTCACGGGCCCTTGGGCAAGCGCTCTTGGAGTATAGGAGTACTCTCAATCGTTATGCGTTGGACCCGTGCCCAGCATGCTTGCTGGACACGGGTAACAGTGCCGTTAGGCACTGTTATCTCCTTTTTCTTTTTTTTTATTTTTTTTTATTTTTTTTTTTAAATTTCAGACCGCTTCATTGTAATAGTATATGTTCATAATTTTATTACTATATGTTAATAACTATACATTCATAACTCCATAACTGTACGTTCATAACTCTATAACTGTACATTCATAACTCCATAACTGTACATTCATAACTCCATAACTGTATATTCATAACTCCATAATTGTACATTCATAATTTTCGAAGCTCTATGTTCACAATTTTAGAGCTCTATGTTCATAATTTTATCACTATATGTTCATAATTGTAAGTTCATAATGTTAGAGCTCTTTGTTCATAATTCGATCAATAACTGTACATTCATAATTCCATACTGTAGATTCATAATCTCATAACTGTAGATTCATAACTCCATAACTGTAGATTCATAACTCTATAACTGTACATTCATAACTCCATAACTGTACATTCATAATCTTCGAAGCTTTATATTCACAATTTTAAAGCTCCATGGTCATAATTTTATCACTATATATGTTCGTAATTGTAAGTTCATAATGTTAGAGCTCTGTGTTCATAATTTCATAATTGTATAACTGTATATTCATGATGGCATAACTGTACATTCATAACGGCATAACTGTACATTCATAATCAAAAAAAAAAAAAAAAAAAAAAATAACGCTGTTAACGGCAAAACGCACGCGTTTTTTTTTTTTTAACTAAATGACGTGTTTTTTTAAAAAAACGACGTCGTTTTGGGCCCGTGTCCACAATTCAATGTGAACACGGGTCCAGGGCATAATTTGCCGAGTACTCTGCCATAGGCTAGAATACCTAAGGAATCAAAAAAAAAATCCTATGTAGAAATAACATAAGTTTACCTTAATTTAAGTACTTTTAGATTATACTACCTTTAATTTTATAATAAAATAAATATAATATAGAGCTTTAAATAATCTAAGAATACTAATAACAATAATAATAATAATAATAATAATAATAATAATAATAATAATAATAATAATAATAAAAAACAAAACCAACGTTATTCCATCATGGACTGTGCCTATCCTTTAGTATAGCACAAAGATTCTCCATTCCATTTTCTTTGGAGGTGGAGCAACATGATTGATGTTGTAGACTTGTAGTTAAGTTTGCACATAATGTGGTTGTAGTTAAGTGTTATATAAATGGAGTGTTGGATGATAGGAAAGTGAGGAAACGAGATCTTCAGGTGTGTAATCACTTTTCTATAAGCTTTAAATCTCCCTCATATAAAGAAACAAGGTTCAAGATTTAATCTTATGGGATACAAGAAGATGATGAAATTCTTAAGTTGCTTTGTTTAAAAATTTCCTGTAGAAATGTAGTGCTTTGAACTTTCTCAGTTTGATGCAAGTTTATTGCATATGCTTTTCCAGACATTTCTCCAAATATTTATAGATGCAAATAAAGCAGTTTGGAGAAATTACATGGAAGTTATTGGAGTTCAAAAACTCAACTTCCATAAGATATATCAGGCATGGAAAAATAATAATTACATATAATATATAGACGTAATTCATACAAATAAGAATTTACATATTATATATATATATATATATATATATATATATATATATATATATTTATTTATGACTTTGATGCATGACTTTGATGCAGGTAAGCATGCCATACAAAGAAATAAATAATATATATATATAT